TCGTCTCCTTTTCTTTTTAGGGCTTTCAGCACAAAAATTGCCCAAATATCCAAGGCAGCGCGTTTCACTCTAGTGAGCTTCAGTCTGAGTGGCGCTCTCAGCGCTGAGTCCCACCTGGTTTTTAGACGTAGAGTGTGAGCAGGTAGATCGCATCAGAGCGTCGGGTCGCACAGAGTGAGAACAAAAATGGTGAGCTGTGAACTTTTAAACCCTGCAGTTTTGTCGTACAGTGCGAGCTTTAGCTGCGTGCAACGCTTGAAAGTTAAAAAGTTCAAGTTAAAAACGGCCACATTATCATGATACTATAACAGATCCACTGTTATTTCAACAACAGGAGGAACAGCCGGCTGTTCTGGGAGTCATGTCGGCGAATCCCTCCGTACCTGGCACGAGGTTGGTCAGGCAGTCTAAGGCCTGCTGCTTGGTCTGGTCTTTTTGCTGCTGGCTGCGTTCAGGCGGAGCGGCAGCTGGCAGAGCTCCTCCCGGCCACACCGCTTCCTGGACGACCTGCAGGTATGCCACCCAGTATTTGGTGCAGGTCAGGTTGGCTACGCTCACGTCCAGCCATCTGAAACACACACAGAAGGGGTTCATAGTTAGTGATTATCCAGCCGTCCGTAGGCCCGGCTGACAATGAGAAGCAGATCCAATCCCAGTTGACACCTGGAGACACAGTGGAGCCTTTCAGCCTGGATTTAGGAGCTGAGTGCATGGTGACCCTGTTCTGCCTGACTGGACCATATCACAGCTCTCTGGTTAGCGGCTGATTTCACATGAAAGCCTGCGTCTTCTCTCCACAGCACTCCCACGGAGATTTGAACCTACGGAGCAAGAGGAGCCTGACCTGGCACAGCCTTGCACAGGAAGTGCTCTCAAACTAAAGCCTTTTAGTGTTTGGCTGCTCTGTTTCTACCTGACTGACAGGATTTACGGCGTACCACGGCCAACGTGGAACCCAGACTAAAGGAAGTTACTGAAGGCAACTAGTGAGCTATTTAGACGCTTACTCAGATCACCCTGTAGGACGTGTGATAAAAAGTTCAATAGAGCAGAAAGAAGCTGCTTTGAAAACATCCAAAAGGCCTGAGCTGCTGGAAAGAAAAGAAAATAAAAGAGAGGAAAGGAAAAAAGCAGGAGGTCAGCGGCTTCCAAAGAGGGGGCCACAAGGGGGCCTAGGGGAACCTCAGGGAAATAGAAATACATTTATTTACAAAGTGATACATTTTTTTAACTCTTGAAATATAATATTGTTTAAACATTTAATGTATAAACATTAAAAACCGAAATAATTAAAATAAAAAGGCTAAAAGTTGAAGAAAGTAACGTTAGCTGACAGGATGATGGCAGTGTCCTTTTTGCAGTAAGATACCAGGATGGCGCTCGTTTTTTTTGTTTTTGTTTTTTTTTACTTTAAACATACTCCAAATGAAACATAGAGCAGTGGACTATGACATTTTTATGGCACTGCACATATTAAGCCCCGCCCTCCCTTTGTTTGCATAATCAAAAGTTTGCATCCAATGAGAAAAATAATACAGAGTTGAAAAAGATGTTAGGTTATATGTAGGATTAGGGCCACTGGGAAAAAAAAAAAGTTAACAGATTTTTTTTTTATTTTATTTCAGTATAGTATGGGAAGAAAGTCACAATTCTGACTTTAATCTCAGAATTTTGACTTTAATCTCAGAATTCTGACTTTTTTTCTCAGAATTCTGAGATTAAAGTCAGAATTCTGACTTTTTTCTCAGAATTCTGACTTTAATCTCAGAATTCTGACTTTTTTTCTCAGAATTCTGAGATTAAAGTCAGAATTCTGACTTTTTTTCTCACAATTCTGACTTTA